ATTGGATATGACTCCAAGATGGACCTTACTCGCAAACTTAATATTACCCCCAAGCTGTTCGTATTGGTAACCTTCGTACTGTAGCGGATACTTCCTTCAACAGCAACCCAAATGATGCCCTGACCATTGGTCTCATCAACCAGTTAATGAATCCAGATGTAGCCGTGGGATCCCTAGCACGAGCATTCAAGTCCCTGAAGTTCAAGTCTTGGCATCCCTTGCACTATTTACTGCTTCTATGAATACAGGTAAGCTAACACGTTCATGCAGTTGTTAAACTACACGAAACGATACCCATCAAGAGCCACGGTTCTTGCTGTCTTCGCTCCAAACGATGGCAGATAGATCTTTAGGGATGATACCAGGATTTGATTGTTTACCTCATCATACTGTATATGACACCCCCTTTCATAGCATATGGTCATCTCGGACTTGTTGTCGGACTGCTCCGCATGCGTGTATGTATATTTATGTGTGTATACACATGCTAACCCTAAGGTTAAACCTGTACTGGATAAAAACATAATGATGAGGATCGTTAATTGACTCCTGATTCCAAACAACATCAACCCTAACCCCATCCTTGTCATTCGCCCTCATGTCCCTGGTATTCGCCTTGACAGCAGCCCTAAGGCCATCCATAGTAGGCTTAGTACCCACCCATAATCTGACCCCGATGTTTCTCTTATTCAAGTTACAACCTTTGTCAGCTAGAAGAAATCGTAGTGGTAGCTGTGATAACCCTGATATCCAGGGTCCTGGTCTCTGCTAAACCTGCAGTACTAGCTCCCTATTTACCCCAAATCTGATCCGAATAATGTCCTGGTTATTACCTGGTGTATAGTATTAATGATAAGCGGAATCGAATCCCAAAAGTAATGACACTCGACGAACCTTGTTGGCACTCGTAATGCGCGCAAACAAAAGGACAACACAATCTTTGCTAGCAAACAATTGGTCTTGGAGTGAAATACCAACCTTCCCTAGGAAAATGATGCTTTTGCACAGAAAAACAGCCTTTCCCTAGGAAAACAATAATGTTGCACCGACAAATCACCTATTCCAAGAAAAAACCATCTCTTGGGAAACTATACGCCCAGACTCCAAAACTTTGGGGGTTTCCCTAAAAGCTTGGTTTTCCTACAATCAATACACTAGACTATGTTATAAATTGTAAAACTTGCTTGCATCATATCAAAGCATAGTGCAGTAAACCATGTATGGTATGATGTGAGACGCAAATAGGTTTTGGTTTGTGCTGCATTATGTTACGCGATATTGAAAGTCATTTGTGATTGTATTATGCTAAACTGGGTGTCGGTTTCAGTATCTTCAATTTCATATTACGAGTACTATGTTTTACAATACAATATCCCGCTCTACTCTGTTATAATTAATGTACTGTAGTATATTGAATTAAAGTACATCATGTTCCCTATTCTTAACTTTTGCACCATCGTATTTTGACCCCGTTGATATTTATCCTTAGTTTTTCAATCATACTAAGTCATGCTATATCACATTCTACTTGGCTATATTGGTACAGATATAGCACTACAATAATCCTCACAACCATAAGCATCATAGGAACGAGGCTAATACCAACTATAACACTCTTATCTAACACATTAACCAACAACCTTCGTCATGAGAATGCCCAAGAACAAATCTTGCTGTTGACATGACTATTAAACGGTTCATGCTACTACTATTGATCAACCACAATAAACACGGGAAGCCGTTTGATGCCACCCAGCCACGTCGGCTTGGTTGGGCTCCAGAGTTCCCAAGCCTCGGGGCCCACGACTTCGGCGGCTTCTGTGCTACCTTCGGGGCGTTGCGGTGTCGGGTTCCTAAAATTTTCGGGGGGGCGGTGGGTTTAGGGCTTAGTGTGGTGTCTCGGGTTTCTATAAAAGTAGGTTTCATTTGAAGCTTCAGTCAATAGTGTTCCCGCGACAGTGCCGTGCACATTTTGGCTGCAATTCGTGTTTCCTACAGTTCCGGTCAAACACTGGGGTGGCATTCGTGTTCCTCTGCCTTGCATTTTGGCTAGGGTATGTGCGGCTTGGATCTAGGGAGATCTGCTAGACCTCCAGCTCGAAAGGTCGGACTGCTCAAATGCTTAATGTGTCAGGCTTGCGGAGCCAGGGCCTGGGGTTGCAAGCATATGGCTCCAGGTACGTTTTTGTTTTGAAACAGGCTTGTTCCTGAAATATCGTACTACCAGCCTAGTAGATGATTCGTGCACGTGCAACTAGGAAGTCTTAGATGCCGGGGGGTGCCCGGATGCTACTTCACATCTACTCCAAGCAGGCAACACGGGAAGTGAAAACCTTAACTCGAGGGGCCCTTCCCCTACACCCTGACCTCTAGCCTTGAGCTCCTAGTGAGCCCGGCTGCACGATCAATGCTCCGAGATCGAAACTCTACGTCGGCTGGGCAGGGAGTGGGATCTCATTACCTTACATAGCCTATAAGCCCTCAAACTTCAAAAGACAAACCTAAGCCTTATAAGCCAGAAAACCCTAAACCTTAAGAGCCGTCGAGCCCAAAACCTTACAAAGAATCCGATGGGCCTCTACAAAATCCTATAAACCCTACACCCCATAGAGTTTAGTCCAAGCCCTGAAATCCTTAACTCGAACGCCGCAAAGCCAGAAGGCCTACTCAATCCATAGAGAAGCACTGACAAGTATACACCCGAATAACCTGGAGCCCTCAAAGCCTTGAACACCTAAAATCCGAAACCCTGAACCCTATTAAGCCCACGAAGCCCTAGAACCTGCAAGAATGTAGCCGATACATTTATGGATGCCGGATTGAATACCTACAATATCCCTGTTGTGTGACTATATTTATACTATTACCGCCAAACTCGATTCAAAATACCAAGGCCCCTTCATTATAGAACCCCTTTAGAATTCCTGAAGAACCCTCTGAAGGAATCGGGAACCTATTCTACTTGCGCAAGGCTCCTAATTCTTGTGAGCTCTACTGAATACGGCCCTTACATGTTTGCCGCGGTGCCTCCTCCTTCGGCGATCATTGCCCCTGCTGGGTTTGAGGCGGGAATGCTGCCCAAGACTGTTTGGCTCATGAGGTTCTTGAGTTTACGTTCAGTGGGGTTTAGGGTTTACGGGGTGTACGTTTTTAGGGGGGTCAGATCTTGGGCTTAGGGTTTCAAGGGGTGCTGGGATATTTGGACAGTGTGAAAGGTTCGTTTTGGTTCAAGATGGAGCAGAACTTGAGTTATGCCGTGGTTTCAGCACAGCGCGGCATCAACTTCACAACCCGCGGAAGCAACACCGATAAAACAAAGCTTCGGTTAGGTCGCATCTCCCCTCACAGTGCACATTAGACAGACAACCCATCTGGACCAAAAAGGGTGCGAACCCCCCCCAAAAAAAAACTCCAAACCTATACCCCGATACCGTCACACACGAACCCGTTCCCCCAACTTGCAGAGACGGAGCCCCCCCCAAAAAAATATTATGAAGTCCGGCGGTTTAGGCTTTAGGGTTTAGAGTTTAGGGTTTAGGGTGTGAAGTCCACCCTCCACGCACCAGGTTTCACACTTTGAAGTCAAAGCTTCGGGATCAGCGCTGGCTGAACTAAAGCTTCCGAGTTTAGGGTGTCTGATCTGCGCGGGTTTAGGGCTCATGCGGGTTCAAAGATAAGGGGTTAGAACTGTGGGCTTGTGGGTTCAAGATCTACAAGTATTAAGGCTTAATAAGGCTTTAGGCCGCGACCCAGAATCGCGAAGGGGTGTGGGTCTGATCAGGGTTGCGCGCTTCCGGAGGAAGACGCACATACAACTGAAAGAGGGTGCTTGTACCCGAAGTCCCAAACGTTGAAGGAGCACGGAAAAGCCACCTACTGAAACTTAGAAGGACAAGCTGAAGGGCTACACCCTAAACACAAAGCCTCAAAAGGAACAACTTTTGGGACCCGAACCCTCAACCCTAAACTCAAAGGGCAAGCCCAGACTTTATAAAGGAAGCTTAGGGTTGAGGGTTGAGGGTTTAGAAACCCTCTTGGCATCAGGGCTTGTGCGATCGCCTAAAATCAAAACCCTACATCCTAAACCCTGAAGGAACCTGAAACCCTCAACCTTACATTTTTTTGAAGACGAGGTCTCTCTGAAGTGCCTCTAGCAGCAACCTTACATCTAAAAGGGAAACCTGACCCCGATAAGCTCTGAAGGACAAACTGAAACACGATGCCTTAAAAGGAAAACCCGGAACGCCTAGCCCTAAACCTGAAGGACGATTGAACACCGTTCTTGCATAAAACCGTCAAGGAAAACCTGAAATCCTACATCCCAAAATTTTGAACGAATAAACGGGAAAGCCTGGAAGCGAGCCTTGTGGTACCCCCCACATGGTAACTCTGAAAGCCGGAACCTGAAACCCTACAGCCCTTACAGTAATTACCGCTTGTGGCAACCCCTATAGATCTTACAGGAAAAACTCCTCGTTTTTTTTTTGAACCCAGGCTCTGATCATCAGCTGGGAAAGGAAAAAACTCTAAAGCCTATACCCTGGAAGCGAGCCTTCGAGAAATACGGCAACGCGCAAGAACATCCCCGCACAGGGGCTTGACTCGGTCAGGTCCACCTGAAGGAGCGAACAGGCTCTAGAAAGGGGGGGGGGGTTGGATTAGCGATCGGGGGTTTCGGTGATCAATCTTGAGGGTTTAGGGTTTAGGATGGGTTTAAGGATAACTCGGCTGGAGTTTTTATCTATGGGGGCCGTATCGGGATTTGTTATTGCAGTAACCTTAAATCTCTCCGCAAATGAAGCCAGCAAGGCCGCTTTGATGCTGGGCTCGCTGACTTAGACCCTCCTCCAGAACACTCCAGATCAGAATTCAGACCTCCGCCCTCTCCGACTCGAGTGCCCCGTGGACAAATCCACCTCCAACATTTCTTGCCGTAAAAGACAGGTAGTGAACGCTAACGTCGAGGTCTGCAGGGCAAACCGCCATGTGCACGACTGGCTCCGAGAGCTGTGAAGCTTGGATACATTCGTGTGCAGCCATGGAGGTTAACCAGGAACATTTAGAAAACTTGAAATCTGAGGTATGGAATGCACGAAACGCGACCTGACTGCGTAGATTCACCCGTAAGTGGCGGGAAATTGCTGCATAGCCAAGCACTGACGAGGTCTGCACTCCATCCCCTTTCAAGACCACAAACAGTTGGGACTGGCGTAGCCCGTTGATGCAGTTCCTCTTCTGGGCTGCACCGATTGAGCAAAACGGTTGCCAGCTACATGTAGAGAAGCAGCGGTCTTCAATGCTATGGGACGACACGAGATGTCAAGTATACTTCGCATCAAAACTGAATTCAATCACACTGTGGCTTACTGCATCCGCCTTGGTAGCTAGTCAGTCCCATGCTTTCGCTACCGTTGCAAAGGAAGGCTCAAACTAATCCCTTATAATAACTGAATATAAGTAAAAGTAACTACATGTAAAACAAATATATATATATATATATATATATATATATATTTATATTTATATTTATATACCTGTTCCGACCAGCAAATGCACCACACACGGTTTTTGTGCGGTGCACCGCCGCTGGCAGGACTGAATTCGCCCATCAGCCTCATCAGCTGCGCTTCTCGA